TTGATTTGGGTATCGACACTTCAGAAGAAAGCCTTTGGAACACCGAGACCCTCTGTAGAGTGGTCTTGGGGAAGCTACACGCTGATAATACTGTCCTGATAAGTTTGTTACACGGATAATGAGAGTCCATTTCCCGGGTACTTCTCTTTCGAGATTTATTCGTACCCCCAGCCCGATAGTACAACTAATCGGCATTATGTTCGGAGCAATCTATCGGCTGTTTACATGAATCCTCAGGTGTAACGCGTTCGTCTGTCTGACGCGTTTTCTTCTGAGTAAACAACACCTTGTTAGCATATGTAGGAGTCATATGTTTGGAATCACACTTTTCTAAGGGTGAAACCTTAACGGGCTCCTGGTCTTCTGTACACACCCCTAAGCGGGCGGTTACAGGAATCAACTTGTTAGGAGGTCGTGTATGACCCCCAGTCTGGATGTTTGCTCAGGGCTCCTTCAACGGTCCCAAGCATTCCTTAATAGACGATTTGTCTTGATCTTTGGGTAGAGAACCAAGGCGATCCTTCAATGGAATTCTAGATTTGGAGAGATCCATGCTATCATAGGGCTTCACCGGAGGTGTAGGAGTAATAGGAGCGGGATCTGGAGTTGACGAAGGCCGGAGAGCATTCTCGAATGCTTGTGCCTTAGGCGTTGATTTGGCCTTTGGCATCCAAACTTGCTTAGATCTTGGTGGCTTTTTGACCACTTTTTCCTTCTGCAACTTCTGTGCCTTCCGTACAAGGATCCTTGTTTGTACTAGCAGTACGCGGCGCTTATGGATACGCTCCTCAAGAGTTGAACGGGTCTTTTTGATACGAACCTATTCATTGGTTGCTGGTTTGGAGGAGGAAGCGTTTGCTTGCTGCTGGAACACTTGGCGCCTTCTGAGTTTCAGATCCGTATAATAGCAGGTCCCGTCAACAGGCTCCAAAACCTTGGCAAATTGACGTGCGAGATGTTGATGATGTCTTTGATGAGCCCTCTTCGTCAGCACAGGTGCACTTTCAACGGGCAACTCCTTGATTTTCAAGGAGTTGTCATGAACATTGGATCTGGTTTCTTTGGAGGCCGAAGAGGCGTCTTCCACTGCATTCGGGTTTAGATCATCAGCCCTGGTCTTTGGATCTGAAGTCAAGTTCTTCGCAGCAGTGGTTTTCCTGTGTTTGCAAGAAGAAGATCTGGAGGAGGAGGAGGAAATATATTCCTCGAATTTCTGCGAGTTGAATTCGTATTCGACCTCTTCGAACATCGAGATCTTGATCGTCGGCTGTTGGCTCCTACTGTGGTCGCCAGCTTGTTTGCGGTGAAAGTTGATATCTTCATTACTGAATCCATTACACGCTTATCGATTATAGATTCAAAGTAAAATTAGTCTTTTTATAAGACTTTCTTACATAATGAAAATAAGAAAGTAAAATTAGTCTTTTTATAAGACTTTCTTACATAATGAAAATAAGAAAAATACAACTCTCTTCAAACAAACGCAACGGGTGTTTATCGCCATGAAAATAAGAAAAATACAACTCTCTTCAAACAAACGCAACGGGTGTTTATCGCCCGCTGCTTGCGTAGAATCTTAGCCTGTGACGGGGACGTTGATATCCGCAGATCACCAAACGATTAGATTAGATCTGGAGCTTCATTGATTCGTGAAGGAATCAAGAAACCGAAGCAGTTATCTCGGCAACGGCGAGATAACCACTCTTCTCGAGATCACCGTAACGGGGTGATCTCAAGGAAGGAACCGGGAAGTGTAGATCTGACGAGATCCTCTTCTTTGTGATGACAAACTCAATCCGATCTCTCCTCCTCCTCTCTAAAATTCGTGGCTCTTCAGTCCTTAATTCGGCAGCGCTTCGCCAACGCTCGAGAATTCCCGATCTCCCCCAAAAAATAAAGGCCCTGGGGCTGTATTTATAGGCTTCAGGAGCCTTGTGTTCGGATAAGAATGGCCAATTTCCTTTTATCTTCAGTTGAAACCACTTAACCATATTATCAGATCAGTTAGAGCAAATCCAGGCGGTTAACGATCGAAAAAAACCACCGAAAACAACCAATATCAGCATTTTCGTGTTGCAGACACTTATGAGTGTCTCGGCATGGCCGAGGATACACTCTTGAGTGTCTCGGCCAAGCTGAGACACTTGGGAGTGTCTTGGCTTGGCCGAGACACTTGTAAGTGTCATGACCAAGCCAAGACACCTCGGGGTGCCTCGGTTTTTTTGTTTTGTTTTTGGTGCGTCGAGTTTGTTTCCACCATATATTCGTCATCCGGACTCAGAATTATGTGGTTCAAGATACATCGGAAAGCCGACAAGGAGATCTACGGGCTCCCATGATTGAGTCATATGTGGAGTAAACGATGCGGGGCTCTCGATCAGCTCTTGTTTTCGTTATTCTGAAGTTCCGTTGCTTCGTATGATCCGTCGACTCACTTCATACGTTTGTCGTTGTCAAATAAGATTCTGTAACTCTAATAGCAACGTTCATCATCTTCTCCCTATCTCGAGCCATATTCGGGGACCTATGGGCAATTTTTGATGCCTACAACTTGGTGAGAATATCTGGAGCCCCTTCACTACCTCCTTGGGTCTCAGTCTCCTCCAGAATATCATCTCCCCCAGGGGCCTCAGCTTCGGCCTCCGCCACTTGAAGGTCAGCTCTCTCTACTTGCGCTAGGGACCCATCGTCAACATGGATAACTTCAGTCTTTACCACCTCGGTCGTCTTCTTAGGTCCTTGACTACCCACCTTCCTCAGCCTTTTTCTCTTCTCAACTTGAGTAGTCACAGACTTCGACCCCGATAATCTAGCGGCTATCTCGGCCGCATGAGTTTGAACCTCCGTCACCTCCCCAGGGGCCAGATCCTGATGCAGGTGAAGCCGTCAAGGTGCAAACTTCTCCACCTACAATTGTAATTAAAAATAAACCCTCAAGTACCAATAATAAAAGTATCACAACCAAATTATAATTCTTTTTCCCTCTATATCACCTCTTTTATCTGGCAAAAGTCAAGATAATTCTTTTATGATTTATATTTTGGTCTTTCTAGGTCAAATACTTATCACATAATAGATAAGACTCAATGATGTTAGTTTTGAGATGTTAGGTTTAAGTGGCGAAAGTTCACCGGGATTAAATCAAAAAATTTTAAGTTGAGATTGATTATCTAGAAAACACCCAAAATTTGGTGGAGACTTATTCAGTTCCATGCCCTACATAGTTGAGAGGAAGTTTTTTTAAAATTAACTCTTAAACAAAAGCATAACTTAAGGCACGTGTGATATTAATTTTATAAAAGTAGAGATTATAGCAAGTTTATCACTTAATGAACTGGTTTAGATTATCTATCTTTAAATTTACTATATACATCAACTCTAAAATTTTTTTGCTATAATAATCTCCAAGAAAAATTTAATATTTATTTGGGATGAGTATGTGATCTTTCTGATTCCCCTTGTCTTTCATGATTTGTAATAAATTATTTGACAAAGTAAATTAAGTTGTCATTTTATATTGCTCATATAAGTTTATGAAGCTCATAGCTTGGATGTGAGTATTATTACAAAATATTGTATTCTTCTAACTCCTTAAGCTAAAATTTTGGATGTTGTTTGACATTTGGATATGTATGGATTATTTTGTTAAAATACAATCAATATGAGTGCATAATATGTACAAATCATTCTTAGACTATATTTTATAATTTTTAAAACTAGAGATTGTTTTGACAAATTAATTAGTAGTTGGGAAAATGTAAAAAGAGTACAACATCAGATTTTGGAATTGATCACACAAATTATATTTTCTTTCTTAATTGACTTTGCACATTCTAACTTAGAAAATTCTAGAAAAAAGTTCTTGAATATCTATAATACTCGATCGCCAGATAAATAACAGGTGGAAGTAAACAACAGGTGCAAGTGATTTTTTTATAATTGAACAAAATCCTTAATGACTAGATAAAACCTACTATTTTCCTTAATGAATTCAAGAATTTATTTTTTATTAATAATAATAAGTTTTTTCTATATTGGTCCCTTACATCATTAATATTTTTAAATTAAACATTCAAATTACTAATTAACCTTAAATCATTAATATTTTAAGGCTTTAAATATCACTAATTCTCTGGAAGATAAAATGTTAAAATCACACATGGAAATATCTAAAAAATTTAATATATTATGATGATTATGAAGTTTTTCACAACCATGTTATGATAAATAAATAAACTTAAAGTTGATAATTATAATATTTGATCACGTATAGTACACGTGCATTCCACCTAGTAAAAAAATTGATCCGAGTCAACGAATCAATATACAATTATACGTTGGTTGGTATACCCCAACAGTAGACTTGTCCTCGGGGAGAATCTTAACCTTGCCCACTTTAATTGGTTGTAGAGTTATCCATAACTAGTGGTATGTGCTTGCCAACGAAGACTGAAATAAATGTTTTGAGTGTAGTGATTATTGATTAACTATATTCGTATAATTTTATATTCTCTAGAGGTATATTTAATTAAAAAAGAATATGGATAACTCAGAAGTTTAGTTCTATTTCGCTTTTTGCAATAACTGTTAAAAAAAATCTTTGATGTTGGCAGGTTTGTGGTTATTAATTAAAACTTGTTGTCGATGCTTTTCTTTAAAAAAAATGATGCTAGAACACATAAATGCATTTTCTTATGTTATTTTCTATTGAGGCTTTTTTTAATAAATTTTTTCCCCCGAGAAATGATAGTAGTAACGATAAGATAATAAGAAGTCATATAGAGCTATATGAATTTTTGATGATGATGACAACAACAACAATAACATAGCAAAATTTGTGGTTCATGTGTACAAATCAGTATCAAGTAAATTATGAGAGCATTATCACAAAATGCCCAAAAGCACAAGAGGTTAACAATAATAAAAGCAGTGGGTGAGGTGGGCCTGCAGCATAGAATTCATTTAACACCGCATCTTCCACTTCCTCCTCCTTACATCCTCCTCTAAATTTAAAAACAAAGGAACACCAAACACACACACACACAAACAGAGAGAGAGAGAGAGAGAGAGAGAGAAGATGTCAGATTGGGGGCCGGTGTTCGTGGCGGTGATCCTGTTCGTGCTGCTCTCCCCCGGCCTCCTGGTCCAGATCCCTGGCAAGCACCGCTTCGTCGAGTTCGGGAACTTCCAGACCAGCGCTCCGTCGATATTCGTGCACGCACTCATCTTCTTCGGCCTCGTTGCCGTCTTCTTCATAGTCGTCCACGTTCATATTTATCTCGACTGAGGAACAAAGGGTTATGTTATGCGAGGCATGTGTTTCTTGTTGTTTGTATCATTAGCACAAAATAGAGTCCTTAACTGTGTCGATGTGCGCTTCTTGGGGTAGTACGTACTCTTCTATGATGATGTAACCCATTGTATTCCGTAACCTGTATTTTATTAGCACCTATCCCTGAAATTTAGGTTATATCGCATTTTTACCTCAATTTGAAACAATTTTTAGTATTCTCTTTAGGCAATGCCTGGGGGAGTTTGCAGGGAGGGAAAATGAAGGATAAATATAATATATTGTTTGGAAGTCTTGTGAATTTAGTATTAAAAAAAATTGAATGGTAACAAATTCATCTTGTTTCGAAGTTAGGACAAATTTTGAAAATCGACTCATTTACAAATATAATTGCAAAAATCGATCTATTTTCAACATATTTGTCAAAATCGACCCATTTTCAGCCACCTGGCTAAAAACTAGGTCGATTTTGACCAAAAATGTCTGAAACTTCACGGGATAGTCCCGTGAAGTTTAGCAGCCGGGTAATTAACACGTGTAAGTTCACGGGACTTGAAGTTCCGTGAACTTGTAAGGAGTGTTTTAGCTTCACGGGACTTGAAGTCCCGTGAAGTTTCCTTTGAATTTCCAGTTTTAAACAAATTTTAAACAAAATCGACCTATTTCTCCGTGAAATTTTAAACAAATTTTAAGGGACTTGAAGTCCCGTGAAAGAGTTGGCACCGTTAATCAAATTTTATTAGATTGTCTTAAACTTCACGGGACTTGAAGTCTCGTGAAGTTTCGTAAGTTTTTTGGTCAAAATCGACTCAGTTTCGATTTTGACAAATATGTTGAAAAGAGGTCGTTTTATGCAATTATTTTTGTAAATGGGTCGATTTTCTAAATTTTTCCTTCCAAGTTACAATAAAGAAGAAGGGGGCAAGAAGGGAATTTATGTTACCCCAACCAACCCGCCAAAAAAATCCCTTCCCCCATTACCCCTTGTCCAAACATAAGGCCTTGTTTGGATTGAGGGGAATGAGGGTGAAGGGAAGTTAGGGGAACCATTCACCTCCATTCACCTTGTTTGGGAACACTTAGGAGGTGAAGTTAATTCACCCTAGTTCCCCTTGGTTCACCCCCTAATAGTATAAAATTTGTTACCCCCCAAATTGGGGTGTAACCAAGGGGAAGAGAACTCTCTTCCCTTCTTTTCTCTCAGTTTCCCTTAACTTCCCTTCACCCCCTACAAATCCAAACAAGCCCTAAAGTTATTAGTAAAACTGAGCGCAAAAAGCATGGTCACGCACATCGGGAAAAAACGAAGAAGGCAAATCTATTTAGTTAGTTGTTTCTGAACCTCACAAACGGATATATAGATATTAATTAATAACATAAAAAGGTAACTTAGTAACGTTACCGGTATATTCATGGTGAAATAGGATTTTTTTTTAAAAAAAATAAAAAATAGTAAATCATAGTATTTAATTAGCTTACCCATTAAAAAAAAGAGCTTATCCAGGTCAGTGGAAGGTTTCTAAAAGTTCCGACAAAAATATGTAATCAAGGGAAAGGAAATTATACATTGAAAGATATATGCGCTAAGCCTACTGTAAAATAGCATTTAATTAATTTATCCAAGACCTTTATTAGCATATTGAGGTGACTACAACTATTTTGAAAATATGCACTAGCTTAACGATTGTATTAAAATATATGGACGAGAGCTTTTCAGCAGAAGGCTGTAAATAATCAGGCCAGACTGATCCAATTAATAATCTACTTAGACTGATCGCCATTATTTTGATCCATAGACATTAAATTAATTGCTTTGTTTTAAGTGACTTATTATTTCTAAAAGTAAAGTAAGATGGAATTGTATAGGATAAATAATTAGCTGTCAGTCGATGGAATTTTATAGGATAAGAAATCAACTCTAAAGTGTTCACCGAATAGCAGCATGTAAGTAGAAAACACGGGAAAATAAGATTCTGAAATTGTTTTCGGTGGTCAGAAAATAGAGCAGCAACAGCAAACAGTACTAATGCTCGATCAACAACAATATGGCTAAAAATGATAATTGATATTTTTTAATACTTTGTACTTTGTGGAAACTGGAAAGAATCTACAAACATGTGCAGATATGCTATGGTCAATTGGATACAACCGAAGTCCTAGCGTTGATGAAACATTGATGTCATGTCATCAACTGATCAAAGTATGAGATTCCAACTCAAATTGTGCGGGTCATTTTACAATTCTAGGAAAACAAACACTTAATTTGCAATGTAAATACAATTCTGACAATGGAAATAATGGACATTCCAATTAATGCCAGATTTAACCGTTAATTTCCCGTTCGCGATATTTTCTACCCGCGGTATTTGCTCATTAATTTACATTGCTAGCGTACGAGCAACCCCTTGCATACGAAGAGTAACTACAATGATGGAAGTATACTTCGAACTTCTCAGCCGCTCAAAAGGCACTTTGCGCTCAAGATACCCAGAAGATTAATTCTTTCTTTTTGGCCCCTGGGGGGGCAACAAACTGACATATTATTCACATTTGGAGTCCAAATCAACCCATTTTTAATTAATTTACAGCACACACAAACCCTCCACAGTATAGAAAGTCAGAACAACAATAAAAACTCCCGAGAATTCAAGCAGCGTGAACATGTATACCGACTGCAATGACAAGGATGGTGAGCACGCAGAAAAAGAGAATGCTGTGAACAAGGATAGAGATCCCACTGGTTCCCATGCTGCCAAACTCTATCACCCTCGACCTCCCCGGAAGCTGAAACAACAGCCCCGGTGACAGGAGGATGAAGAGGATCACTGCCACGATCACCGGGCCCCAGTCTGTCGACATGATCGATCTCCTAGATCCCAAAATCTCTCTATCTTAAATATGCTTGTTGAGTGAGGAGAATGGAACGACGATTACCTTTGAGCTAGAACTACTACGCATGCGTGTTATGTACTAGTTGATCAGTGGAATTGAGATGCCAACCTTAGAGTTCAAGAAAGTAGAGCTGGTGAATTTTGAGGCAACACATGCTTCTCTGCATTAGGGGGAGAGACTATGGGCCGTGCGGACGAAGCAAAGGCAATAATAACGGGCCTTGACATGGATTCCTTTCTTGACAAACTATGGTGGGAGAGTCAGAAGGAAAGCAAGGTATGTATCAAACTCAATCCTTGGTCATATTATATATACGGTTGCTGCATCAAAAAATACATTGTTTTTGTCTTATAACAGAAGGAAGAAGTAATTATACGTGGTGAAAACTGCCCCCAAAGGCATAAGGCATGCGTTGTATCCAAACAAAGGGGGAAAAAATGGAGCTATCTGGTCTCAATCACCACTTAATTTATAGCTCAAAATTAATTGGATGTTTGGAGAAAAACTGTCCCGCAAAAAAAAAAGAAAAAAAAAAGAGTTAACGACCGGCATATTTTGTCAAACGTCAAAGAACTTTTTATCTAATTTATGATATGCGTATCAAACCCAATAAAAATTATGTGTCCGGTTCCTCTTGCATGAATAATTCAGTATCAGACTAGTGTTACATAACAATTACTATAGCAGCAAAAAATCAGCAACTGTTTCTATTTTGTCACGCATTTATGCAGGATATATTTTCATTCAAGTTCTTTTACTGAAAATTAGCAGACATATTTTGTGAGGTTGTTTAATTAAAGAAAGTTCGAGCGAGTTCAAAGAACATTCAGGTCAAGTGGATATTTGTTTAGAACATGGTATCTTTTAACTGCTAAGCACAAACTCTACGTCTGCTTGTTGGTTAAGCTATAGGATGAGGTTAAAAAAACAAGGAAATCAAAGAAAAGAAAACATATTTTCTATAATAGGTTCTTTTCTTGTGTTTGGTTCACTTCTTAGAAGTAAGAAAGGAGATAAGATGAGATGAGTTGTCACCATATTATTGGATGATGTGGGTTATTTTTTAAGAAATAAATTTTATGACTTGTTTTGAGGTTATTTGGTTGGCTAAAAAAATAAGGAAATTAATTATAAGAAATCTAGGTTCTTTTCTTGTGTTTGGTTTATTCTTAAAACTAAGAAAATAGAGATGAGTAGTCATTATATTATTAGATGATGTGACTCATATTTAGGAAAACCCATTTTATGATTTTTTTGAAGGAAATGGATGGAAATCAAATTTTAATGAGATGAGATGAGTTGTCACCATATTATTGGATGATGTGGGTTATTTTTTAAGAAATAAATTTTATGACTTGTTTTGAGGTTATTTGGTTGGCTAAAAAAATAAGGAAATTAATTATAAGAAATCTAGGTTCTTTTCTTGTGTTTGGTTTATTCTTAAAACTAAGAAAATAGAGATGAGTAGTCATTATATTATTAGATGATGTGACTCATATTTAGGAAAACCCATTTTATGATTTTTTTGAAGGAAATGGATGGAAATCAAATTTTAATGAGATGAGATGAGTTGTCACCATATTATTGGATGATGTGACTCATTTTTAAAGATGAGATGTGAGATGAGATGAGTTGTCACCATATTATTGGATGATGTGACTCATTTTTAAAGATGAGATGAGATGAGACGAGATAGATGATTTGACCAATTTCTTATGTTTGGTTCATTCTTAAAAGTAAGAAAGGAGATGAGATGAGATGAGTTATCACCATATTATTGGATGATGTGAGTGATTTTTAAGGGTGAAAATGGATGGAAAACTTTTAATGGTTTCCGAGGTCCTATTTTCTTTTCTTTGATATTAGGAAACCAACCAAACAACCCCAACATAAACCATCTGAGCTAAACATTTTCTTAAGTGGCATTTATGACTAGTTTTTATTACTGTCTGAAACAGTCATAACCAGGATACAAAAGCAGGACCGCAGCCACTAAAGCTAATCATATTTTACAAATTACAAACCCTTGTAAGACTTATTTTGCTAGTAATGAGTAAGCACCACTGAACATTATGCTCTGTGCACATTCTCAGCAAGTCACATGCCTAGTAGTTCAAATGAGATTTGTCACTGTAACTAACCAAGGGGCATTCAACAACAGCAAGCAATAATCAAATTTATAATTAAGATGATCTAGTAGAATAGTTATCTACAATTGTAAACTGCCGGTGGATTTTATAGCCTTGATTTCAGATTGATATTCTAAGTCATAAACAAAATGCAAACAAAGGATGCACACATATGTTATACTACTAAGTGGTGTTAGATTTAAATCAAATAATTAAGGTTATAGCATGCAAAAATTCGAAATAAAAGAAACAAGAAAATCTAGCCTGATCGGGAACAGTCATGTAAACATTGCCCTAGAAGATTAAGAACCCGCCTATCACCCTGGCGCAGATGATCTCCTCTCCTCTAAGCGGTAAAAATCTCTAAAATCGGCCGACATTTGAACTCGGGCGAGAGTGCAGAGCTTCTGCTCAGACGAAGACGGTTGCCCAAAACAAGATTAAACAGTAGCCGAGAATTTTGACAAAGAGGGAAAGGGACGTTCTCGTTTTTAAGAAGAGAGAAGAATGTTTTTGTTTTCGTACTTTCCCAGCTCACACTGCGGCTGTATATATAGTGTTGAGAACCCATAGCCGTCTGTAGGCGTCTAAAATTGCCTATAAGAGCCCGCACGAAACTCGAAGCAATGAATAGGCGAGTCAAGAAAATTCGCTAATCAGTCAGCGCACGTCAAATCATCTCGTGCGCGTCGGTCAGCTCGTGCGCGTCGGTCAACACGTGCACGCCGATCAGTCAATGCGTATCGATCAACAAGCAACGCGCGTTCGACGATCGGTCTCGCGGCGAAGCATACAAGTCAACAAATCGACCAAACACGCGAAAAGAACAAGTCTCAGAAGAAAGAGAACATAAAAGGAAAAAGTCGACAAAACTGCGCGAACGCAGGACGGAACAAACCGACCCGCGCAAGCGCGGGTCGGATCAGTCCGACCCACGCAAGCGCAGGTCGGATTGGTCCGACCCGCGCAAGCACGGGTCGGACCAGTCCGACCCACAACTTTGCGGAACGGACCAATCCGACCGGCAATTGTGCGGGTCGGACTAGTCCGACCCGCGCAAGCGCAGTACGGAACCCGAAACGCGTTTTGATGGTTTTTATGCTGTTTTTGCAGGATTTATCTGTTCCAGGGGTTTCTAACTGACCTGATATCATCCCCAAACGTGGTTAGGCTGTTGTTAACTGAAGATAGAGCCAAATCACTTGTTCTCATCCAAATACCTGCTTCCGAAGCCCTATAAATACAAACCTAGGGCCTCCTTTCAGCGGGGGCGATTGATTATCAAGACGAGGAGGTGCTGCCGGATTGTGGAGTCAAAGGAGCACGAATTTCAGCGAGGGTTGACAGATCTTGGCGAGTTCTTCGGCATAAAGAAGGAGAGTTCGAGAGATCCGACGCCCGTTCCCGTCCCTTGAGATTAGGCTTGGTCTTATTGTTTGACGAGAATTGTATTTTTTTATTTTTATTGTGTAAAAGTCTTATAAAAAGACTATCTTTTTGTTTTCATTGTAACAATCGAAGTTGTAATGAATACCGCAATGAATACAATAATTTTCGACGCAAACAAACTGGCGACCACAGTGGGAGCCAACAGCTTTGCTGCCGGAGCTGTCGTGTCGCAACCTCGAATCTGCATCCCGGTCGAAGAAGTGGTCGAATACAAGTTCGACCAACTGAAGTTTGAGGAATATCTGTCGTCCTCCTCCTCCAGATCCTCCGCCTCTCGCAAGCGAAGGAAGATCAACGCCCCCGTTGTTGCGGTAGCTGAACCTTGCAACGCCCTTCCGGCCTCCAATGAGTTCGGATCTGCAGATCTGAACTCTTCCTCAATCAAGGAGTTGAGTACAGAAGGCGCGCCCATTTTATCGAAGAGAGCTCGTCAAAGGCAGCGCCAACGCTGTGCGCGCCAACTCGCTAGAGCCTTGGAGTCAATTGACGGGATCAATCCGACCCGCCAATTTGCAGGTCACTTCAATCCGACCCGCCAATTTGCAGGTCACTCCGATCCGACCCGCCAATTTGCAGGTCACTTCAATCAGACCCGCCAATTTGCAGGTCACTTCAATCCGACCCGTCAATTTGCAGGTCACTCCAATCCGACCCGCCGATTTACAGGTCACTCCGATCCGACCCGCTAATTTGCAGATCACTTCAATCCGACCCGTCAATTTGCAGGTCACTCCAATCCGACCCGCCGATTTACAGGTCACTCCGATCCGACCCGCCAATTTGTAAGTCACTTCAATCTGACCCGCCGATTCGCAGGTCACTCCTATCCGACCCGCCAATTCGCAGGTCACCCAGATCCGACCCGCCAATTCACATGTCACTTGGATCCGACCCTCTACTTTGCGGGTCACCCAAATCCGACCCTCTGACCCGCGGGACACTCAAGTCTGACCCGCGTCAGGGTAAAGACAGAAGAAGTTATGCACATGTTTCGTCGATCCCTTCGAGTTCTGCACCTCCGACGGAGCACCGTGACAGTGTGGACTTGTCCCATTTCAAGGTGAGGACGGCGGATCACCCGGGTACTTTGCATAAGGATCAAGACAAGGTTGCGATCAAAGAATGCTTGGGCCTAGTGACTGAACCCCGAGCAATTATTCGAGCTGGGGGTCGCACACGGAAAACTTCTGTAATTGACCGCCTCGGACGACGAATTAAACTCCAAGAGCCCGTCGAGATTTTACGCTTACAAATGCGTGACTCTAAACGCGTGACTCTTGAGAACGCTAACAATGAGTTGCATACTCAGAAGAAAACACGTAAAACAAACAAGCGCGTTATACCTGAGGATTCATGTAAACAGCCGATAGGTTGCTCTGATGGTAACGTCGATGAGTTGTACTATCGAGCTGGGGGTATGAACAAGTCTCAGAAGAGATATACCCGAGAAACAAAGTCTCACTGCCCGTACGCCAAGTTAATCAGGGCAGTATTATCAGCGTGTAGCTGCCCCAAGACCGCTCCATAGAGGGTCTCGGTATTTGAGAGGATCTTTAACGG